ATAGGGCCATGAAGATGTATAATGGGCCATGACAACATCTAACAGTGGGCCCTCAGTTTGGGGAGGTCAGCAAAGGTTTCTCTGAGACAGTGTTATTTCAGCCGAGGCTTGGAGTACAAGTAGAGCTTAGCCTGATGAAAAAGTGAGATGGGGGAACCATTCTAGAAAGAGGGAACAGGGCGTGGGCCTGAAGTGGTGGCTGAGCCAGGGCTGGCAGAAAACAGATGCTGTGGCTGCGAGCCCTGTGTTCTTTCTGCTGCCCCAGGCTGGGCTTGTTCTAGTCCTGTATTGGTTGTGTACTCACTCTGGAGAGGGGAGTTTCCATACGTGAGGGTGCGCATCCCAGAAGGGGAAGCAGGGTGGCCCCTCGCATGGAGGGCTGGGTTCTCGTGGAAGAGAAGAAAGCTGGAAGAGGAAGCTAGGGAAGGAAGGCTGAGGAATTTACCTGGGGGTGCAGGTCAGGATTGAAAGGGAGGGCCAGATGAGACATCAGGATCAGTTGTTGATTCAGCAGTGTGACCATTTCTTCCAAGCTTGTTCTAGAAAGGGTTAATGGCAACTTAGAGACATAGCTTCATTATTTCCCTTTTTGGTACATATGCTAGGATCACAAAACCTCATGTTTTCCTAGCCCCCTTTAAGTCTGGTTTTCTTGCTCTATTCCTTCTCTTCTTTTTCTTCTCTACTTCCTGTTGAGTACCTTATGTATGATACTCTAGTATGGTGCTGGGTGCTGAGATTACAAAGTCAGTAAGAGATGACCCCTGCCAATAGAGAGCCTGGGACCCACAGAGTGAGAGGAGTGGTGTGCAAAGGAGCAGCAGCTACTATCAGGGTGTCAGCCAAGAGAGCCTTGCCAAAGATTTGGGACCATGTGGATGGATGACCCAAGCAAAGAGTTGACCCTTACCTGCCTCATAAAGCCCTTGTTATCTTCAGATAGCAGGTTGGGAACTCTGTGAAGATACACATCAGGCTTTCTGAGGAGGACCCAGGTGCCCAGGGATGGGTGGGTGAGTGGGTGGATGGATGGATGGGTGGGTGGATGTTCATACTACAGTACTAGTGAAAGGGTCCCTGAGAACAGGAAAGGAGAGACCCAGGTGTAATTAAGGATCCTGGCATCTCCCACCCATTGCTAGTTGACAGTTTCAGTTTCTCAAAGTCCTGTGTATGGTTTACTTGTGTAGAGACCCTTCTGCAGGGTGAAGCTTCAGTGTTCAAAGAAGATCTATCAGATTTGTGAATTAGATTTGGAACCTTTACTTCTGGTGGCTTGTGGTCTCATGGGTGACTTTCATCCATACATAGGGTGGTGTCTGGTTAAGAGGAATTGGTGGTGCTTAGTTTTTTTTTTAATTTTTTAAATGTTTGTTTATTTTTGAGAGAGACAGAGTGCGAATAGGGGAAGGGCAGAGAGAGAGGGAGACACAGAATCCGAAGCAGGCTCCAGGCTCTGAGCTGTCAGCACAGAGCTGGACGTGGGGCTCAAACTCACAAACTGTGAGATCATGACCTGACCCGAAGTTGGACACTTAACCTACTGAGCCACCCAGGCACCCCTAAATTTTTTTAATTAAAAAAATTTTTTTTATTTTTAGAAAGAAAGAGGCACAAATAGGAGATAGGGTCAGAGAGAAAGTGAGAGAGAGAGAATCTTAAGCAGGCTCCATGCTCAGTGCAGAGCCTGACGTGGGGCTTGATCCCAAGACCCTGGGATCATGACCTGAGCTGAAATGAAAAGTCCAACACTCAACTGACTGAGCCACCCAGGCACCCCACTGGTGGTTTTTTAAAAGGAGATTGGGCTACTTTTGCCCACCCAGGATCCCATGCCAGCGAGAAGAATCCTGCTGGTAGCTGGGTGGCATGTGGCCCTGCCTGGCAAATGAGGGGAGACTGGGATGCAGAAATCATTTTATCTTTCTGTTTAGCCTGAGGCTGTTAGCTTTTATGAAGCAGCCCTGCCCCCAGGATACCTCCTTTCATGTCTAGTTCTGGAGGGTTCCTGCTTGCCTCTTCCTCAGTCTTCCCTCTGTGCTTCCCTCTGTCTGGGCCACAGACTCCATACCTTCTCTATGCAACATCTGATTGGGTCCCTTCCACTGAGTGTATATTCCCACCTTGCCCAGTTAGGAACCTGACCTTCCTGGTGGACTTCCTTTTCAAATTACCAGCTCAACCTTCTTTTCTCAAATGAACAATTCTTTTGTGATGTAAATAATTACCTCTCCTTCCCATGATTGCTGCTTTGCAAAAGTTTTTTTTATATTGCATTTGCTTACTGTGGAGGTGTATTTGTTTTATAGGAGTCCTTTTAAATGGCTGGGGATGAGAACGACACTGGCTTCTAACAAACTGGTCTAGTATGCTCTCCAGGCTGTGATGGTTCAGTTGGCATCATGGTAGAGTCTCTGTAATAAAGAATCACATTAAAGCAAAGTTATATGTCCTACAGTCAATTCCATCAAGTAATGCACTAAGGATTTTTGGAAAGAGAAACCTAATTCTTTAAAAGGAGAGAGAGGAGGACAAGAGAAGAGGATATAAAAGAACCCTAAGCAATTCAGTTATACTAATGACCCTTGTATTATTATAGCAATATTACTTACAAATAAAAGCCAAAGAGGAAAAACAAGCTGTGTTTGCTCAATGTACTCTCTGTTCCCTGCCTTGTTTTTCTGCTCTAAAGTATAGCACTGTGTTGACGTAGGGATGTAACTGCTATGAATATTGATGGCAGCAAAAGCCTTTTTTCTCTGTCTGGCCTAGTAAATAAAGCAGAAGGGATAAAAAGGGAAGAGGAATTGTAAAACCAGCGTGCTGTTTTTAGCTTATCTTGTTCGCGTAGAATGCTAAGTCTTGAAAACATATTGACAATCTACATTTGGTGGTCAGGGTCTAATTTGAGTACGGTGAATTGGGATTTTCAGGGATTTTTGCTTCTGGTTCAAGTAACAGAATTGCTTTCTCCTTTTAGCTCTCATAGCTGTCACTGCCCCCATTGAAGCCTTCCGGGATCTCTCCTCCCTAGCCAGGAGCAAAGTTGGTCCTGGTGTGAGGCTCACAGGGAATATGGAGAGTAAAGAAGGGAGTTGCTGGAGGTTTGGAGGCTCACGTGTGTCTGGAGGGCACGACTGTGTGGAAGGAGAAGGGTCCTGGTCAAGGAGGGTTCTGGCGGTCTGGTGAAGGGTATTGGGTACGTGGGATGAGCTAGGCTGAGGATGGGACCAGTTGAGAGTTCTGGGGGCAGCATGGGTATGGAGGTTGGGGTGAGTGAGGTTCTATACATTGAAAACACACTGACTCTGACTAACTCCCATCACAAAAGAGTTTATTAGACCTCTCTGATGGTGTTCAAGGATAAAAGGGAGCTCTGAAGGACAGGTTAAGGACAACAGAGACCCGGGAGGGAAGAACTGATGAACTGGCTTTTTGCAAGACCAGTGGGAAGTCAGGAATGAGTGTGAAGGCTGGAGTCCAGCAGTGGTTGGACGGTGGCTCTGGTGGTAAAGAGGGAGGATGTGGGGCGAAACGTGGGGAAGGTCAGGCCAGGTGACAGAAGGGTAGCACTTTGGTAGCAGGGCGGCTTAGCCCACCTAGTAGTGGTCACATACAGCAAAGCAAAGTCCTGGTGAAGGAGGAATGAACTAGTTAGTCCCTTGGCCTTGTCAGAGTGCTCAAGATGTACAACTGCTCTTTCAGTTACCTGTCTTGGGACATTCTCAGTGTTTATGTTTGAAGCCTTCCCTTCCCCACCAGACTAAACCTTTAGGGGACCGTGGTGGAGCCATTTTTCTAATCCTGGCTCCTGGTATGGGGTCTGTTATGTAGAATAGGTGCTCACTGAGTGTTTCCTGAGCCAAATTTATTTGACCTCTTGCACTGGGCATCTTAATAAGTGAATTCCATGACTTCCATTTTCCTAAGGTATTGCTTACTTTCCTCAGGTCCCACAGGGTAGAATTAATATTTGTGGAGGACTTTATGGCCCACGTGGAAGAGTTTTAATTGCTGATGGTTTTTCATTGAGTTATTAAGTAGCCTCTTGCCAGGGAATGCCTCTTATAAAATTAATTGCACACATCCCAGTGGGTTGGTATTTCTATTAAAGCTGAAGCTGCATAAAGAAAACCTTTATAAAAGAGGAAAGGAGTCAACATTTTTAGACCTGCTGATGGATGTGTTCTCTGGACTCACAGAGTTGCATGAATTGGAATGGGAAGGATTCTAAGAGTCACCTAGCCTGAGGGCTGAATCTCAGAGATCTGGGCAGCCAGATGGGAATGGCTGCCGGGGCTGGTAGGAGGGAAGGACACAGAGGCTGAACCCAGGCTCCCTGGGATGGTGTATGGCGACCACTTGGCAGTGTCAGCTGAGAGAGGCCACATGCCAGTATGCAGGCAGGGGATTTGCCATCCTGAATATGCTCCCCTTCTGTGCTGGTGAGGAAGCTTAGGTCCAGAGGAGAGGAGGCACTTGCCAAGGTCACCTTGCTGCTCTGAGACAAAGAGGACCCTGGATTAGAAATCAGGTGTAAACCCAAGAGGAAGAGAGAGGGTCAAAGCAGATGCACCTTCCTTTCGTCCAAAGGACATTCTGTTCAAAGCCACTGTTGAGATCTTTGTTGTACCCTTGTGCTTTTCTGGGCCTAATTTGGCAATCTCAGGAGGATAACATGCTGCATTTTGCAAATGTGTGCAAATAACAAACATGCCCGTTATGTCCTAGGCAGACTCATTGCACAAGCATCAGGGCAGGTGGCAAAATGCAGTCATGCAGCCTGGAATGAAAAGTGTTTTACACTTAGCTGCTTATGAGAAATTCAGTGTTAGAATTAAAACGCTTTCCTGGCACAGGTGCTGTGTTAATGGTGCCATTTCTCATAATAAAACTTTGCTTGGAGAAAATGCTTATATCTCAGAGATATTGAATCTAATTCCTGTCTCTTTTTTTCTTCTCTCCACGCCCCCCCCCCACCTTTTTGTTTCTCTTTACAGGAAAAAGTAGAATATGCCTTCCTGATTATTTTTACAGTCGAGACATTTTTGAAGATTATAGCATATGGATTATTGCTACATCCTAATGCTTATGTTAGGAATGGATGGAATTTACTGGATTTTGTTATAGTAATAGTAGGGTAAGTCCCTTTTATTTTGGGGAAATGTTTGGAAGATGGGAGGCATGGAGCAATGAAAAACACAGTCTTTTGAGGGAACATGGTTGCTCTTCTCTGCCAGCAATTGTGGCCGGAACCTGCCGGGAGTGTTTTGGAGTGATGCTGGTGATGGGTGATGCTGCTATCTGCCTCTGGGAAGAGACCAGTTTGAATCCCCTCATTGTTTTTACTTCCCTTCCAGTAATGTATTAAAGAAGGAAGTTGAAGCTCTTGATTTAAGAGGGTTTCATTTTACAAGGCCTTGGGTCTTCACAAACAGGCCAGCCGTGCTAGTGGTTAGACTCAAATGAGTAGAACTCTTATACTTAGCACTCTGTTAGTTTAAAAAAAAACACAAAACACTAAAACAGTAATAAATCCTTCATAGAAGTGAGATACTCTGCTATTTAACATCCCTTGAGCAAAGCTATTAATTTTTTTTTTTTTTTTTTTGCTGACTTGTGGGAAAAACTTTGGCATGCTACCATCCATTTGAAATAACAAAACAAGTGTCTGAATAATATCAGGTATCTGGCATGAAATGAAATAAGCTGGAAAATGCAGAGAAAGTAGGCATTATTCTGAAATCCTGTCACAGGAAGAGACACACCAACAGTTTTAGTTAAAGGAGGGTATTAAAAAACAGTGGCCTGTGTTGTGTTTTTCTGATCCTTCCACACCTGGAAATTTTGCCAGCAAGAGGAAAAACTGAATCTGTGTCAGAGGAGTGCTAGGCCTTTGGACCAAATACCCAGATAGGAAAAGAAGATCTATCCCTTCATAGAGTCTTCATTATCTAGCAGTAAAGTGGGTTGCTCCTAAAATTATATTTGGTCCTACAGAGAGATCGTTAAATGACCTCTCTGTTTTCATCTCCATAACTTTGTTCAACTGCCTTTTGAAATTGAGCAAAGTAATTTTTCTTATGGGTTGTTTTTTTAAATCATGAATACTTTGGCTTTTCATGGGAGACAGCTGGATGTTAGGAGAGTGGGATAAATTTTAAGCCTGCTCTTTCAAACCTAGGAAGTTCAAATGGGATCCAAAATGGTGGCCCAGTGGGATAATTAGACTTAAGGGAAAAAAAAAGTCAGCTTTTGCAAAAACCACCACAGTACATGGTGCCTACAGTATTACCACAAAGGTAGTGCAGCTAAAGTGAACAAGTAGTAGGTATGTCCGTACCTTCCTGTATTTGGTGAACTCTAATAAGGAATGGCAAGCAGGAGCCTTGCAAGTCTCTTGGTTCTGGAACAATCTCACTGTGCCTCTTCTGACCCAGGACTTTCTGTTCAGCTACAGGATGGAGATGCTTAGCTCCGTTTCTTTTATCCTTACCCTACAGTTTCCTCAGCTTTCTACCTGGAGATATTTTTCAGACTATAGAAGAGCACAAAGACATGGAACTGAACAGAGGATGGTGGTCTCATTGCATTGAGGAGACAGAGACAAGAATCCAGTAAGGCCAGTGGGGCTGAAATTTGACAGGTGTAGCATGGGAGGAGAAGGGAAAGGGCTTTTCAGGGAAAGAGCTCCATAAATATGCTTTGGAGTCCTCTTGAGCTTTGCCTGAAGTGTAATCTACACTTACAGGGAGTGAGAATCCATGAGGCCAGTCAAATAATGCTATTAGGGAGAAAAAGAAAAGCTGGAGACTATAAGCTGAATAATAACTAGAGCTCACACAGGTCTGGGAGATGTTCAAGTTATGACCAGCAAGAATGGAAGGACCTCAATAGACACCCTGGACTGTCATTAGAGAGCCCAGAATGGCCATTAGTAGCAGGGGTTGGGAAAATATGGCCAACAGGACAAATTCAGCCTGCCACAAATTTTTGTAAATAAAGTTTTATTGTAACATAGTCACACATGTTTGTTTACACAGTTGAATTGAGTAGTTTAGGTCCACAAAGCCTGAACTATTTACTCTCTGGCCCCTTACAGAACAGTTTTGCCAACCCCTGCTATAGAGTAATGGTCACCTGAATTCCTTTCTAATAATGGTTGAGAAGAAGCCTGAAAAGGGGCCAACTGAGGTGCAAAACAAACTGCCTGTGAAAACAAAACTCAAAACTCTTTAAAAGAAGATGACAAAATATAGATACTTAGCTATTGTCCAGCATTCAGTCAAATATTATAGCCGTATTAAGATATATGACCCATAAGGAGGAAATTCCATCTGTACAAACAGACCTAGAAATGACAAAGATGGTGGAATTAATAGAGAATTGCTTTACAAGACTTTAAAAATAGCTATTATTAATATGTATATGGACCTAAAGGAATACATGGCCACAATGCAAAATGATGGGACAATATTAGAAAGAACCACATGGGACTTTGAGAGCTGAAAATTTCCCCTGGATTGGCTTAATAGCAAATTAGATACAATAGAAGAAAAACATCAAGGAGCTTGAAGACCTAGCAATAACACAAAGAATGTTGACAGAGAAAAACTGAACATGCCCTGGATGACCTGTGGGGCAATATCATGTGGTCTAACATATGTATATTTGGGGTCTCAAAGGAGAGGAGATAGAGGAGAGACAGAAAAAATTTTTAAATGACTCCAAATTTTCTAAATGTGATGAAAAACATAAACTCACAAATTCAAGAAGCTCAACAAAGCTCGAGCAAAGTAAACATGAAGAAAGCTACATCAAAGTATGTCATAATCATAATGAAATTGCTCAAAACCAAGGATAAAGAGAAAATCTGAAAAAGTAATCAGAGAAAAAGACATCCCTAGACTTCTCATCAGCACCATACAAGCTGGAAGACAATAGAGAGAGATCTTTAAAGTGCTAGGGAAAATGTCAACCTAGAATTCTTATTCAGTAAAGATATCTTTCCAAATTGAAGTAAAAACAGACTTTTTCAGACAAACCAAAGCTGAGAACTCACCACCAATAAGCCCTCATGTCAACAATTACTAAAGGAATTTCTTCACACTGAAGGAAAATGAAACCAGGTAGAAATTATGGATCTATTAAAAAGAAATGAAGAATGCCAGAAAGGGTAAATTCATGGGTAAATAAAAAAAATTTTTTTTCTCATTTTAAAATCTCTTTAAAAGTACTTGATTATTTACGGCACAAGTAGTAACAATGTATTCAGGAGTTTGCAGCTTCTATAAAAGTAAAATATGTAACAACAATAGCACAAAGGACAGAAAGAAGGAAAAAGCCATGTACATTTGAAAAGAGCTTATACAGTTGGTGGTAAATATGATAAAATATTATCTGAACGTATTAAGTTCAAGATGTATATTGTAAATCCTAGAGCACAGGCTGGCAAAATTTAGCCTGTAAGCCAAATATGGTTTATTGCCTTTTTTATTTTTCACATTGGCAAAGTATTTTCCTGTGTGCTTTGGAAGATTGTTTTATTGGAAGATAGTCAGACTCCCTCATATCTATTTGGCTATTTGGTGTTAGGATGGCAAAGTTGAATAGTTGTGACAGGGACCCTGTGGCCTGAAAATCTTAAAATAGTTGCTATTTGACACTCTACAGATTTTTGCTGACACTTGCCCTAGTGCAGCCACTAGAAAAATAAAAATATATAGTTAATAAGCCTGTGTTGGATATTAAATGGAATTTTTAAAAGTTCAATTAATTCAAAAAAGTCAGGTATGAATTAAAGAAGAACAATGGGCAGGGCAAACAGAAAACAAACAGCAAGATAGTAGATTTAAATCCAGCTAAATCCTTATAAGAGTCCAGAGTTTATCAGATTTTATATGTAAAAAACCAGACCCAACTCTATAGTGTCTACAAGAACCCTAACTTATAAAGACACAAATAATTTGAAATTCAAAGGCCAGAAAAATATATGCCATGTGAAAATTAATCAGAATAAAGGTAGAGTGGCAATATTAGTCCAACAAAGTAGACTTGAGAACAAGGAATATTATCCAGGAAAAAGACATTTCATAGTGATGAAAGAATTCTTTCATGAAGATGTAATAACCCTAAGTGTGTGTGTGTGTGTGTGTGTGTGTGTGTGTGTGTGTATGCCTAATAACAAGGCTTCAAAATACACTAAACAAAAACTGAAAAGAACTTAAGGTGGAATGGACAAATCTGTACATTTTAATACTTCTTTCTTGAAGGGTGTTGATAGAACATCTAGACAGAAAATCACTAGGTATATAGGGATATATGAACAGTACCACCAACAAATTTGACTTAATTGGCATTTTTAGAACATACTACTCAAGACCAGAATGCACATTCTTTTCACATGCATATACATGGAACATTGACCAAGAAATATTATGGGCCATAAAATAAGTCTTAGTGAATTTAAGAACAGCAAAATCATACAAAATTATGTGCTCTAAATGAATTTAGCAGTGTTTCTGGGTAGAAGGTTAGTATTTAAAAAGTATTTAAAAACCTATATGCTAGGGGCGCCTGGGTGGCGCAGTCGGTTAAGCGTCCGACTTCAGCCAGGTCACGATCTCGCGGTCCGTGAGTTCGAGCCCCGCGTCAGGCTCTGGGCTGATGGCTCGGAGCCTGGAGCCTGTTTCCGATTCTGTGTCTCCCTCTCTCTCTGCCCCTCCCCCGTTCATGCTCTGTCTCTCTCTGTCCCAAAAATAAATAAACATTGAAAAAAAAATTAAAAAAAAAAAAAAACCTATATGCTAGTCATGAACCAATAGAAAATGAAATTTTAAAGACATTATTTACTATAGCATCAAAAAGCATGAAATATTTAGGGGAAAATAGCACATTGCAAATGACTAAACTTTGCTGAGAGAAATGAAAGAATACCTAAATAAATGGAATGTTGTACGGTGTTCATGGATTGGAAGACTCAATTATTGTTAGGATATCAGTTCTTCTCAAACTTTGCTATAGACTGAATCTAAATCCCAGCAAGATTTCTGTAGACTGACAGATTTATTCTAAAACTGATACAGTAATTAGAGAGGCCCTAAACTAGACAAAGAAATGTTTAAGAACTAAGCTGGAACCTGATCTTTAGGCTTGCTATAAAACTCCGGTAGCCAAGACTGATGTTGGCATAAGAAGTAGATATGAAGATCAATGGAATAGACTAGGGAATCTAGAAATAGACCCATATGTATGTGAGCAATTGATTTTAGACAAAGCTGCCTTGATAATTCAATGAGTTGGATTATAAATTGTAGTTAGTTTTCAACAAATGGCAATGGAACAACTATTTATCCACATGAAAAAAAGAAGAATATTTATTCCTACCTAATAACCTACACAAATATTACCTTAAAATGGATCATAAGCCTATATGTGAAAGTTAAAAATATAGAATGTAAAAATATAAAATATAAAATGTAAAAATATAGATTTTTATGACTTAGGGTGGACAAATTTCTTAGGAACCAAAAAGTACTAGCCAAAAAAGAAATAATTAAAATTTTGGAGCTTATCAAAATTTATAATTTTTCTTGAAAAGATTGTGTGAGGAAAATTAAAAATTAAGCACAGACTGGGAAAAAATATTCACAATACAGATATATGACAAAGGACTTGCATTCAGAATATATAAAGATCTCTTATAACCCATTAGTAGGAAGACAACCCAGTATATAAATGGGCAAAAGATTTGAATAGATCTCCACAAAAGAAGATGTGTAAATGGTCAAAAAGCACCTGAAAAGATGTTCTACATCATTAGAATTAGAGAAGTACAAATTAAAACCACAATGACGCACTACGTACCTACCAGCATTACTAAATATAAAAAGACTGACAATACCAAATGTTAGCCAAGATATGGAGCAACTGGAACTCTCATACACTACTTGTAGAAATGGAAAATGGCGCAGTCACTTTGGAAAATTTTGCCAGTTTCCTCTAATGTTAATCATACACTAACCACACGACCATATTACCAGTATTACTCTTAGGTACTTCCCAAATAAATGAAAACACATGTTCCCAAAGACTTTATTCATAATGGAGAAAAACTGGAAACAAGACAAATATCTCTTAACAGGTGAATGGATACATTCATTGTAGTACATTTATGTACTACATATGTACCCCATTATGTACATTTATGTACTACATTATGTACATTTATGTACTACAATGGAATATCACCGAACAATGAAAAGAAATGAACTGTGGATAAATATAACAACTTGGATAAATCTCAAAAATATGGTGAGCAAAAGAAGTTAAAAGAAGAACATATACTATATGATTTCACTTGTAAAAGGTTCTAGAAAAGGGAAAAGACAACCCAAAGTGATAAGCAGCCAATCAGTGGATATCTAAGTTTGAGCTGAGAGGGAGGTGATTGCACAGAGGCATCAAAGAACTGTTGGGGATGGTGAAATTGTCCTGTATCTTGACTGTGGTGTTTGTATTTGGACCTCTGTGTTTGTCAAGAATCCTCTCACTGTATACTTTAAACAAGTGCATTTTATATATAAATTGATCTGCAATAAAATTAAAAAGTAAAAACTCATCTGGGAAATTAAAGTAGGAATGGACTCATTGGTCTTTCTTAATAAATGCAAAGAACTTTAGAACATCAGATTATTTTTCATCTAAAATATGCACTAAATTGTAGTCAAAGAGCAGAAGAAAAGTTAAAAAAAGAAAACTTACTATGTCTTCATGTGCATCAAATTTCTACTCCCTAAAGTTTCCAACTACAGGATGTATCTCAATCCAGTGGATTTTCCATTCCAAGCCAACTGTGACCTATTGCTTTTGTCAAGATTCCCACTAACAGAGACATTAAGAAAGTAATTGATACTTCTAAAATGTTAACTGTAATGATGTGACCACAAGAGTAGTCAATGGGTCTACCAGAGCTGATAGTGTTCCCTGTATAGAAAAGTTTATTCCACCCACCTAAAGCTTCAGTCAACATATATTTCAAGCATTCAGGCTCATCACTTAAGCTTTGTGAAGAAGGACGTGGGGGCTCATTCTGTTGCTGCTAGGTATCCCCTTGCCTTTTTCTCCTGTGTTGGGATAAACTTAATAACAGTCTAGGATCAAATACTTTGTCTTCATGTCCTGAGCTCTCTAGGCATGCGGTACTTTTTTTGTTGGGGGTGGAGGGCGTAAGTGGTAAAGGGAGTAGAATCACAGAGTATTAGAATGGGAAAGGCAGGGCTCTGGTTCATTTAATTCCAGTTTTTTCATTTTACAGAGGGGGAAACTGAGGCCCAGAGAAGGAGAGGAGCTTTCCTAGTGCCTGCTAACTCTTAGGAATGGAAGCCAGCCCCAACCCCTTATACTCTTGGCTGTCAGGGAAAGGCAGCCAGCTTCCCTCTCTGACTCAGGTTCCTCTGTAATGGGAGAGAGACACCATTCACCTGTTATGAAGGGCATTGCTGAAGAACGAAGGGTAAAAGGACCATGATGTATGTCCTGTAAAACACTGATATTTGAAAGTGATCTTCAGTCACCACCTGCATAAATTACTTTCCTAACCCTTTGGGATGAAAAATTCCTGCGGCTGACACATTTCAGAAGAGTTTGAGGTTTTCTTTCTTCTGTTTTGTTTTTGCAAAGCTATGAACTTGTTTTGGAGGGGAGACTTTTAACTTGAGCCTTGCTGCAAGGGTTTAGAGTAATAAAAAAAAAAACCCTATACTAATGAGAGAAACCAGTTATAAGTTTGGTCTATTTCCCTAGTCATAACTAGGGAGAGCCCATCTGAAGGTTTGAAAAGGTAGAGACTTGATTTATTCCCTCCTAGCGCCACCTCCCTCTCCCCCTGCCTGGATCACTGCTAATTGCCATAGTGTTGTTAAAACAAATGGCTGGTCTTTAAATGCCCCAGAGCGATATGACTGTGCCCAATCAGGACTGTAATCAGACCACCCTGTATTTTATGGACTTAGTGTCTTGGCAATCCAGAGGCATGCCAGTGAGGGCAGAGTTTCTACTTTGGCTGCTAATTAAACTTTAGAAACCTTTTCTCTGTTGTTGGGCCAATCATCCCCACAATCTGATTGGCCAGAGTTGATTCTATTTGAAATGGGCAAATTTATATTTATTCTGAAAAACAAGCAATAATTCCAAAGAATAAATGTTTATTTGAAAGAGCAAAAGTAACTGTCAAGTGAGCAGATTGTCTGAAAATAGCTTTATCCTAAAAACCTTTGGAGAGTAGGAAAAAATGTGTTGTGGCTGCCAGATACAATATTATGCACATTTCAAAAGAGAAGATGACGATATTAATACCTTACCTTGGTTTACTGCTTCTGGCCTTTGCACATCTCCTCAGCATCTGTGATTTACATCATTCCTTGAACATCCCTCCCTGGGAGGGTGGAGGTGGGTGTGGGTGTGTCAGTGGCTGTACCAGAAATGGTATAACACATTGATTAAGATTCAGTAATTTGAAGTCAATATTCACCCATTGATTTACTCATCAGATAAGTTTTGAGTGGCTTCTGTGTTAAGAACCGTTCTAGGCACTAGGCTTGAACAGACTAAATGAGCAAATGAACAACACAGATTAAAAGTCCCTGCCCTCATGGGACCCACATCCTAGTGGGGCTGACACACCTGGATTTCATACAATAGTTCTACCCTAGTAGTGTGACCTTGGGCAAGTTACTTGTTCTCATCAAGTTTGTTTCCTCACTTGTGAAATAAGAATTACTACTGCATAGCACTTTGTGAGGATTGAGATAATGATGTATAAAGTGCTTGCACCTAGTGAATGTGTATAAATGGTAGCCGCCATGTTTGTTTCCTTGTTACTTCTGTTTGGGCAATTCCACTTGTCATCATTGGATCCATGGTGAGCCCCTCTTCTGTGGGGTCTGACTTGGTCAGGGATGCTCTGTTGGCAGGAAAACCGATGACTCAGTCCTTGTTGCCAGTCTTGTTACATGTAGGGGTTGCTTTCGGGATTCATATGCTTGCCTTTGCCTTGCTTCCCCTTTATTTAGGCAGCAGCCCCACAGAATTAGCCCTTGTTCAGAAATAACTACTATTATCATCCTGTTTTGCTTCCCTGGGTGACAGACTCTAACAATTCTTCCTTTCTTCCTTTTTTCAGATTGTTTAGTGTAATTCTGGAACAATTAACCAAAGAAACAGAAGGCGGTAACCACTCCAGTGGCAAGTCAGGAGGCTTCGATGTCAAAGCCCTCCGAGCCTTTCGAGTGTTACGACCACTTCGACTAGTGTCAGGAGTACCCAGTAAGCACGTCTTGTTTCCTAAAGCCAGGCGTTTGTTGACTTGTTTTTCTTCTGGGTGGGGCTCAGGATTCTGGAGCTGAGTGTTGCAAGGTGAGTTGCTGTGTGCCAGCCAGGGGGTCCGCAGATGACCACGGAGGCCTTCACAGTTCACAACACACTTTTGCTTGTGTGGTCATTTTGGACCCCAGTGATAGCCCCAAGAAAGGGCCAGTGGCAACTGTTGTCTTCCTGATATTGCAGGAGAATCTTCTCTCACACAGACATGGAGTGAGTGGTGACACGGGGCCTTGAGTTCAGGCTTCCTGCTTCCAGTCTGGTTTTCCTCTTTGGACACCTTGCTGCTGCAGCCTCCTCCTGCTCCCAGGCCTGCCCCCTCTGAAAATGGTGGTTTGTGCAGAGGAGGGTGACAGAGGGCTCACAACCAACTGCCTTTCTTCAAAGCGAGCAGCAGCAGGAGGCTGGACTCCCAAAGAGTCTACTCTGCTCTCCACTATTAAGAGTTGTGCCCATCTGGCTCTTGGGAGGGGAGAGGTGGATGCTTCTGGGTCTTCCCTGGGGTTCTGTAGGACTGGCTTGCAGGTTGTTGTGAGGACTGAAAGGGATAATATGGGGAGAGTCCCCAGTTCAAGGTCTGGAGCACAGAGGTGGCCCTCCGTGGTGAGAGATGCTGTTTTCTCCACTAGGGTGTGTACCCCTCCATGCCAAGTCCTAGTCTGCTTTTTGCTCTGGACGTCTAGGCCAGGTTGAATGCCACCTGAGTTGGAACGGATGTCTGGTCGGTGCTCTGTCCAGGAGCTGCAGGCTGCTTCTGCTTCTCTGAGGAACACGGAGCGTGCTGCTTCGCTGGGCTCTGCCCCTGCACGGATGCCCCTGCTGGGGACGTGAGGGTAGATGTCCTAGCACCTCTCCAGCGACTGTGGTGGTGAGGTGGCTGCCTGCTCCGGCTGGAGGAAGGATCTGAGATGACAGGGTGTGTCTGTTTTTCACGACTCATAAAGCCATCAAAAGAGCACAGATCATGTTTTTGCCTTTCCAGAAGTTCTTCATGAAATTTTTATTAAACCTGTTGGCACTCAGGACACACCAAAAATTCTCTGGAAAAAAAAAAGATTTCCAAATTTAACATTTGAAAATGTAGGAAGTGGTGTTTTATGTGTACTTGTTTTTCCAGATGGTTCATTTATTTTCATTGAAAAAGATCAGCACAAGTCAAAACCACAGAACTGTCTGGAAGCAATTGAGAAAAATAGAAATACCTTGGAAATGACTGGTTCTCTTATGTGTAACATGATGAAATGAAAAGTTCAGTGAGCAAACATGTTCTTTCAGATTTAGTCGTTATAGCTTAATCTGATCTCAGAGTAACCACGACAACCTTTTCCCCCTCAAAGAGCACATGACAGGGCAGCTTGCTTACAGTGTGTGTTGTAAGGACAAGCAGGTGCTGTGGCTTTGCACGTGCACGACTGGCCAGTGAAGCTCTCCGAACTCCTACATCATTGTTGTGGCTTCCTTGCCTAATGAGGTTTTCACTAAATGACTTGTGTTCCCAGATGCTCTTGAGAACAGTTTTAAGCTATATTTCTTTCTTTTCTTCTTTGTAATGTGATGGAGTTCTGCATCACACTGTCCCAGAGGTGGACGGGGAGAAATGGGGACCTAAGTCTTGTGTGAGGACTTTTCAGCCCATATTTATTCACTGTGCTAGTGGAGGACATCCATGTCTCTCATCAGCCCCCACTGGGCTTTGGGGAGATGGGTCAGAGGCTCTGGGTCCTGATGTTTCCCATGCTGGTTGGCAACTGGGGCCTAGTGATTTTTTAAGAACTCTGAATTTTTTAGAAATGCCAGGGAAGGTGTGACTGTTTACACTTACCTGGGAATTGTCTCATTCCTTCTATAGAGAATTCAGACTGTTCTATAAGACATGATTTTGTGTTTGTTCATGAATATATATTTATTTGTTGGGAGGTAAATGTGTATTTCAAAAGGGAGTGCCTCAGGCATTCATGGAGTTCTTAACCATCCATGCTCTGATAATATTTGTCAGAATCCTGGACCATCAAGTGGGAAAGAACCCTACAGATCATTTGGTCTCTGTGCATCATCTTTTAGACAAAGAAGCCGAGGGCTATGGAGGGGTAGCAACTCATGCAGATTCTCATAGCCAGTGGGTGGCCAAAAGGGAGCAGACACACTTTCTTCCTGTTCCTGGCTTAGTGTTCTTCCCATTCCATCCCACTCTCTCCTTAACTGGAGTCCCATGAGCTCTACTGTACACACTGATTATGTACAAAGGAGTCCAATGTCAGGAAAGTCTACATGTTCACATGAAGATAAACCTCATTATCTCATAAATTTGGCCAATCTGAAATACAGTAGTTACAATGAACAAACACGTTCATGAAACATACAGCTCACTACCATAGAATTCAGAAGCACTAACTGCCAGATGATTTCGAATGGACCATCCATGTCTTAAAAAAAAAAAAAAAATCCCTCCAAACGAAAAAACAAACCCCTGTCCAAGTAGATAAGAGCAGATACTTCTTTTTATCTATTTCTGATAGAAGGTGAAAGCATTAAAATTTTATTAATCATTTGTTTTTCTAAAACCATTTGAACATTTAACTATCTGAAGATAATACCTAGGATTTAGGTTGTAATATGGGTCTTGGAAAGATAGGCTCTTCTTGAGTGAAATCTTCTCGGTTTACCCTCCCCATCTCATCCCTCACGTCTCTCCGTGGACTTCCAATCATGGTTAACTTTTGTTATTATCGCTAATGAATATTCTTCTCTTCACTTGGTGTGTTCTGATTTCTGTCTTATTTGCTTCTAGCGTCTTGGCATCTTACACTCTTTTGTTCTTTGAATATGTGTAGGGAGCTGTGCTCCTGGGCAGGGGTTGGGGGTGGGGGGGGGGGGGGAAGAACCCAGATGCTAAACACAGTAATTAGGAAGCCTGGCTGCAGTGTGGGTTCTGGTTTCCTGCCCAGCACCCACCCTCAGTCTCCAGCTTCTGCCCACCCCTCCTGACCTGAGTACTGCTCCACAAACCCTCCTTCCACAGTCTGTCTTGTCGTGTGTTGTGGCTCTGAGCATTGCTGTATACAGGGCTTCCTGGTACTCCTGTCGCCCCATCTCTCAGGTCCATGTAGCAGTGACAGCACACTTCCCTCTTAAGGTTAGGCCCGCCATCAAACATCCTGGGTCTAAGGGGGCTCTTGCCCCTCTCCCTCCCTCCTTCAATCCAGGAGAGCCTCCTTTTTGACATTCTTGTTTTTGTTCAGGCGCACAGGTCTGCCTCAAGACCCTGCCTCCATGGGCACCTTCTTCTCCTCTCAAACTCAGCTGTTGTTCATCATGATCCTCAGGCTGTCCTGCCTGGAGAGCCCAGCACTCCCCAACAACTTCTCTGCTGGCCTCACCTCCCGCTGCCTTGTTCCTCTTTCTCAAGAGTCTGCCTTTGCTGATGGAGAAAAGTCTGGCCCTGTAACCCATGTTTAAAACCCAGAGCTACCTAGCTGCAATCTGCTTTTTCTTTCCTGATCTTCTCTCCACTGTTTGACCACCAACCAAGACTCACTGGCCTGGCCCATGTTGCCTGGCTCACCTGCCATGCTTCTGATGCTCTTCCCTCTGTCTGGAGCAGCCCCTCTCCCAGGCCCACCTGTGGAAATCCATCCTCTTCCACCCTTGGGCCCTAGCAAGAGAGGCACTGCTACCCAGTCCTCTGTCTTATCCCCATTCAGAAGTGATGTCTTTCTTTTTTTTTCTTAAGTTTATTTATTTACTTTAAAAGAGAGAGAGTGTGAGCAGGGGAGGAGCAGAGAGAGAGGGAGAGAGAAAGTCCCAAGCAGGGTCCATGCTGTCTGTGCAGAGCCCTATGCAGGGCTCAATCTCATGAACTGTGGGGCCAAGACCTGAGCAGAAATCAAGAGGTGGATACTTAACCAACTGAGCCACCCAGATGCCCCTAATATTAATTTAATGTTAAACATCTCTTTGAATTTTATTACTGTGTGTCATATATGGAGCAGGCACCATTAGGAATTATATATATATATATATATGTATATATATATATATATATAAAACCATCCATCCATCCATCTCCTTAAAGAATCTCCCTGGCTCACAAACTTCTTTCTCTCTCTTGCAGGTTTACAAGTTGTCCTGAACTCCATTATAAAAGCCATGGTTCCCCTCCTTCACATAGCCCTTTTAGTATTATTTGTAATCATAATCTATGCTATTATAGGATTGGAACTTTTTATTGGAAAAATGCACAAAACATGTTTTTTTGCTGACTCAGGTGAGTAATGAAAAATGGTAGCTAGCCTAGCTTTAAAAAATTTAATTTTCCTCCCAATAGCTTACATGGTTTGGGGAAAATCTAAAACAAAATGGCGGGGGGGGAGCCAAATATACCAGTAAATGTACTGAGCCAGTTCTTAGTGTGAATTGTGTTCAGAATAAATGAGGATTTAATCTCCTTTTCTATCCTGATTTCTTATGTAATGTGTCCTGGCAAACCAGATGAGGTACCCCCAAAACTAGAACATGAGAGACATCACTAGCATTGTTCTCTGTAGGCTTAAGAAAGATTCTATAGAGTCAGGACAGAGGAGGGAGCAATGGATTCTGAGTACCTAAGTGTCATATGCCACAGAAGAGGGAGTCTTTGAAGTGGACCTTGAGGGTCAAGTGGGAGTCTGAGACAGCACCGGTGGGAGGCAGGTGTTCTAGGCTCTGACAAGGGCACTCAGCTTCCACCAGCTCTGGGCTTCCTGGTGTTGGTGTCTTGAGTGGTGAAGCCTGTGTGCTCTGTTTGCAGATGTCATAGCTGAAGAGGACCCAGCGCCGTGTGCGTTCTCAGGGAATGGACGCCAGTGTGCCGCCAATGGCACGGAGTGTAGGAGTGGCTGGGTTGGCCCAAATGGGGGCATCACCAACTTCGATAACTTTGCCTTCGCCATGCTCACCGTGTTTCAGTGCATCACCATGGAGGGCTGGACAGATGTGCTCTACTGGGTAAGCGGCTGGAGGATAGTGTGTGGAGTGTTCTTTCTTTGGATAAGAGTGCTTCATTTGTTAGCACCATTGGAGACTTAGCTGAAAAAGAAACCCTGGAAGTCAGTTCTTTGGGAAGGGAAGCAGACCCTCTCCTCACTCAGCGAGACTCATTCTCTTTCCTCCTCAGGTCTTTCATTTCCATTCCAGAAAGCTGCTGTGTAGTATTGGCTGCCTCACTCCCCAGTGCTGTTTGGTGTGCCTGCGAGTCCTTGTTTTGAGGTCACTCCCTAGATCAATGCTATTGTGATTTAAACTCTTAGAGAGCCAGGGGCTATTGTCCAAGAGGCCCCTGGACTTCCACAGCCTTGGTCTTTTTTTACGTAAAGGTGGGCTGCTCTACCAGATCCTAACAAAAGATAGGGCGTATAACTTGGATCCCTTTCATGCTTCCCATGAACTTAGTGCAGCCTTAAGGCCAAAATGGATTTTCCTTATTTTATACTGTTTCCCTCTTGCCTTTTCAGCATTACCATAAATTAGCCCAGCACAGCCCCTACCTCTCTCTTCCTTTCTCTTTGGAGCTATAGAACTCTGGCAGAGAGGGTTGGAAAGGCACGTCAAACTTCCAGGGCTGGTGGACCCATCCAACCTGCCATGAAAACAGACTGATGCCCTTTCTCTGGCTAAGGTCTTGCTCTCTGTTCCTGACAGAGCCAGAAGGCTTTGCTATAAATGAAGAGCAATAGTATTTTAACTGCTATTTCTCAGAGCTGAGTTTGTTTATTTATTTAGTAGAATTTGAAAAAGCTCACAGAAGTTTAGAAATTATTTTCCATGGCACAGATTGCTGGGAAAAACCAGCTGATGTGCAGATTTTGAGCCTAAACCCAAGTTCAAATGAGATTAATCAGGATTCCAATAATTATTGGTTAAAAGGCAGTTAGTAATAAAGTACTTTCTTGAATGGGCAGTCTTTAGTTAGAAGGCCTACAGATTGAGAATTAGCTTTGGCAGTATCTACATTGTAGATACTCTATAGGGCTTCATATTCCTTTATAACTTCAGAGAACACAGCACACAATGGTTTTAAATAGGTTTGCTTCCCTTCACCAATGAACACCATGCTTACAGGGTTGTAGAAATCTCTATATATTCAATGTCATGCAAAGAAGGTATATTTTTATCTTCTTCTCCAAAGCGTGAGTCCAGTTTAGTAAAAAGTTTTAAGCATCACTAACATGTTGTATCTTGTTTCTCTTTTCCCTTCCTTTTTCTTATTGTCCTAGGCAAGAGAGAATGTGCGTGTGTGTGTGCGCATGCGTGTGTGTGGGCCTGCATGTCTATATATTCGTAAGATAATGTCTTTCATGAAGAGGAAGAAGGAGGGAAATTATATTGGATGAGCCAAGATCATGGCCAAGGCAAGGGGACCTTCAAATTAGGTAAAGGGTTCATAGTCAGTGTTAACTTTTGAGTTGCAAATCCTAGTTAGATTAGTTGAGATCTCAATCCTGGTTTTGCCTTGAAGTTTCTGATAAATAGAAAACGCTTCATCCAAATAGCCCAAACTCTGATCCTCCCCATCCCTGCAAATGGTACAGGAAACAACATCTTGATTTAAAAAAAAAATCTGTGACTGTTCTCAGCTCTGTTGTCCTCTCTGTTGTCAGAGTGAATTGTCCAATGTGCCTGATCCAATGTGCCTTGACTAATGCACAATTTCATACTGTATTTTACATTTTTGCACATGGACTCTTGACAGTTTTCCTGTCGTCTAGCAAGTGAAAACTCTTTAAAGTGTGATTAAAGGAGAGAAAACTCCATACACCCAAAAACAAAAGTATCCATTGCTTTTGGAGCGCCTAGGATTGCATAATTATTATCTCTATCATTAATATGACAGAGTTAATAATTTGACAATATAATAATTATATTCTCTGTGAATTACAGGGCATCTTTATTCTGATGGAGGAGCTCAAGTAATTTACCAACATTATCCCAGTCTGTATCCCTTTGTAGAAAGTCTGGATTTTGAAGACCAAGCAGTGGTATACAGAGAGGCCACTGAACATACAGGACCCAGGGTCCTATAGCAAGTGGTTGTTGTTCTTGATCCAGGGGTTTGTAGATCCAGGGGTCTGTAAGGGGCCAGATAGTAAGTATATTTGGCCTTGTGGACCATTATATCCCTGTCACAACCACTCAATTCTGCCTTCTGCCTATGCCACGCAGAAGCAGCCGTAGATAACATGTAAATGAATGGGTGTGGCTCTGTTCCATTAAAATTTTATTTGTGGACACTGAACTTTGAGTTTTATATAACATTCATGAGTCATGAGACAGTCTTTTGATTTTTACCCCCCAACTATTTAAAAATGAAAAATCTATTTTTAGCTCAAGCGTTGTGCAAAAGCACGTGGTGGGCTGGGTTTGGCCCACACGTCATAGTTTGGTGACCCTGCTCTAGACTGGAACCCAGCACTCTTTCCTTGGTATTCCCTACTGTCAGAGGTTTGTGAACCATTGTAGAACACTAAGGGGCAGCTAAGTCATCTCACATACAGTTCACTAAGGTCTCTGAAACACATTAGGTTTAATTATTCATTGATTATATTTATTAACTCATCAGAGAGATAAGCAAGAGCCAAGGCACTAAGCCTTCTTAATATTGAATGGACCACGGTCAGGTGGAAAATACACAGCTGTGTTCCAGCACAGAACATCCTTGACCAGCACGGTGCCTGGCACAGAGCAGGTGCTCAACAAATGCTAGTTCCTCTTGCCTCTCATTGTACACTCCCATCACCTCAGTGTGGAAAGGCCATGTTTAAATATCGGTTTTTATGAACAACTAGGGTGGAAAGGGAACATCTCGAGAGATAACTAGGGAGATTAGATTATAAATATTGATTGCAAGAAAATTTCTCAATCCTTCAGGTGTTTGTATATAGTGGGCACAATCTTTGCCAGGGATTATTTTCATCTTGTCAAGTTTATATTCAGGCAGTGTTCTCAAGCTCATTGATGCCTTAATTCTCAAGAATTTCTGGAAAAGGGCTGGCAGGGTCTTGAGAAATTTACAGGTGGGTCCAATATACAGGAAAACATACTTAGAGAACTGTTTGGATGTGTGGGAGTGGGATCATCAATTTCTGGTGGAAAAAAAGTTCTTGTGGAGCTCTTTTATAAAGTGAGTTCCGTAAGCATAATTAAGCTGCCATCTGATCCACACGTATTTGTTGTCTACGGAGGCAGCAGGGTGTAGGTCAAGGGAAGAGCATGAAGGCTGGGTAGGGCTGGGTGTATGGCCTTGGGTAGGTCACCAGAACTCTCTGGGCTTTAGTTTTCTTATCTGCAAGATGCACAGTTAGAATACATTCTTTAAAGACATGTCTTTAAAGGTAGGAAATTGAAATAGTGTTGGTTTCAGGAGAGAGCTACTCATGTATTAATCATTTACAGCCTCCTGCCTTAGTGCCAGGCTCTTTCCTCAATGAACACACCTCTGGAGGTGCTGGCTGCCAGACTTGAATGGGAAGTCCACATGGTCACACTGACAGTCTACTTCCTTCAAGACGCCTGGGAAATTCATCCCTCACTGGCCAAGGGCTTGCCTTTCTGTGCCTCTCTCTTATTCCCTACTCAGAGGAGCCCCAACCAGTATACCAAGTTCCCAGTAGTGTTTTCAACAGTTAGAAAAAAACCAAAAAGCCTTAGGTTGGTCTTTAATTGAAGACATGAATGTACATTTCAAACTTTGAAATGAGGGGGGAAAAGGAAACTAAATAGAATGTTATTTTCTAGGCACCAGGTGATACTACCTGATGGCCTTGATACAAATCTTTCAAAAATGAATCTAAATTGAAATGCTTCAGCTCATGCTGAGTTTTTCATTGTTGATAAAGACCACACAGACAAAAATCCCAAGCAGAGTCTTTATTTTCATTTGGGTATTTTTCAGAATAGCTTACCAGTTCTGACTTGTCCCATGTATATGATAGGGTCTGAGGAATACTAGCCTCTGAAAAGAGACTTGGGTTGAGAAGGTTTTGTTTGGAGAAAGACTGGCCTTTAGATACTAAGTTTCATTTCTCTTCCCACCTTCTGGAGATTTAGACAGTTTTCTGTGGCCTTTGCTGTGGCCTTCTCCCCAGCCCACAGCTGTCACTCCAGTTGATATTTCTGATCCAAGCAAATGTGACTCTGTCCAACACCTACACCTAAGAAATTAAAAGCTTCCTTAATTAAAAAAAAAAGTGCCCTCCCAAGTGGAGCAGACTGCCGTTCCTAGCATTCCCTGGAACAGCAGACTGGGGCCTGAACGAGGACGGGTAGAGCATTTGACTTGGCCACTGACTTTGCCAGCGCTATGCGGGACTGAGGTCTCCTGTTGGGAGTCCTGGACTTTGCACATCCTTCCCTCACCCCATGGGCATGGCCTCCCCTGTCATCTGCACTGCTCCTGCAGAGAGGAAACAGGCCCAGAGAGGTTTCCATGGAAGGCCCTGACTCCAGGCTGGGCTCTGGCCCACTACACTGGACAGCCTGGTTCTTCTCTTCCACACACCGAGTTTTTAAATAAGTTTAGTGGTGGTGTTGCTTTGGAAGAATTACCCTGTGCCTTCCTGCTGAAATTAGTTTATCCAGCTTAATTAGATCAACAATTGCAGCCACGGCCCTGGTTCATTCATTACTCTAATTGCCAGTGTAAGATGTGCAGAGTGATACGAGTTCTATTAAGCACATCAATTTTCATGTGGCCAAACAGGTGTTTCATAAGGGATTTAATGTCCTCTCCCTAGACTTCGGCAACAGATGTTAGGTCATTTTTTTTTTTTTTTATGTTCTCTTTTCCTGTTTGGCTTCTGCGTGAGGCAAACATAGTGAAATACATGCGCCTCATTCTGTAAAGCTAAAATCTGGAGCCAAATAATGTGGAAGAAAGCACATGCTTAAAAGCCTAAGGGGCTTTCACCTGTGAGGCAAGAACGGTCACTCTTCCCGACTACATATAGTTCTACTGGCCAAAGATTCTGGGTGTTCCAGCAAAGTCAGGCAGAGGGGTCATTCATTCTGTCCCTGGACTGGTCCTTAACACCTCCTTCCTCGGAGAAGTGTTTGCCTAATGTAACACTGACCTGTGCTGCTGGCAAGTTCCATCTAGCCATGAACCTTGAAGCACCTCTTTGCTCCTGCACGAAGGCTGCTCATGACCAAACCTCCCCTGTGACAGTCTGCCCTGGGGGCCAAGACTGACTGTGATGCTTGAGCTTGTTCCAGTAGTAGCAGCACAGGGTTCCTTTGGACCAGCTTTCTCTCACCTGGTGTCAGTCAGCTCACAGCTGGAGCCAGCTCTCCCAGGTGGCTCATCTAGGTCAAGTCTAGATGGGGGGGTGGGGGGGGATAAGGGCTTCTTTCCTTCTCCTGGGTCTGTCCTCAGGTGCAGTTGGGAAACATCTCATTCCCAAAAGCACTCTTGAATGTGTGTCAGCTAGTTGACTTCTGAGCACTTTGTTTGCATTAATTTGGCCCTGCTTGCACTCACTGATGGCAGATAATCTAGATTTCAGATGGGTTAGGTTTCTTTGGATTGGTTAGCTTCCAATGGAAATGTATTGTTTTAGGTGTTGTTTTAAAGAACTTACCCAGTTAAATGTTGCAAGTTTGTCTCTATTAAGACTTTTCCACCATTACAAAATTTAAAAGCAAGACGTTCTAACAACTTGGGCAGGGTAGAAAATACTTTCCAGATAAGCACGAGCTTTGTCCTCTACCAAGATCTGTTTTGAAAGTCCATGATCAAGACTGTTTCCAGTGAGAAAGAGCCAGATTCCAGCTGATTTTCCTGCCTGTGTCAAAGTGTGCTGTTACTTGCCCCCAAACTTTGATGACACTTTGTGTGTGTGCGTGTGTGTGGGGGGAATATATAGTGAATGTGACTTGGCTACTGTTGTCTCTGATTCAAATCTAAGTAAATGTTTAATTCAATGCATAGAATGCTGTCTCTAATGTGACCCTCGCTCTTTATTAGATTCTCTTATTAACCTGCTCCTATGAGACTATCTTATTTCTTGCAGATGAATGATGCTATGGGATTTGAATTGCCCTGGGTGTATTTTGTCAGTCTCGTCATCTTTGGGTCATTTTTCGTACTAAATCTTGTACTTGGTGTATTGAGCGGGTAAGCTACACCTCTTTCATCTTGAAAGCAGAGTCCTAAGGATGGTTGCCAAGACCACACAGGTTTTGCTAGATGGGGGCGGCCGGGTAGGTGCCAAACACATTCTGTGTCCTCTGAGATGCTTTCTCTTCTGCTGAGGCTTCCCAAACCAAGATGCTTCCTGGAACCTCACCAGCCTTTATGAAAGAAAGCTATGGAATGGTTATTGACCAGAAATTAATCAGCATTGTTGCTTGGGATTTAAATAGATTCCATTGCCTGCCCTTTGTCCTAAAATGAGATACACTTATAATTGCTTTATTGGTCTGGATCCAAATATGCAGATTAATTGGTACAAAACAGTAGCTAAATGAACTGGTCCTGGCTGACTTTTGGTGGGCCATATTTGTAGATTTCAGCAGCACAACTTGTCCTTACCTGAAAACACAAGATAGAGCGAGTCTTCACTCAAAGCCCTGAGTGGTCTGGTCTGGCAGCTCTTCCTGGGGCTCCGCTCTTTAGTAAATGGATAACTGATAACTGATCTCCTTACATTTTACAGGTAAATGATGCAATAGGATGGGAATGGCCATGGGTGTATTTTGTTAGTCTGATCATCCTTGGCTCATTTTTCGTCCTTAACCTGGTTCTTGGTGTCCTTAGTGGGTAAGCAGTCAGATCCATGTTGCACACTCTGCTGGTGCCACGTGTGGGGCAGCTCTACATGTCCCCCCAGCTGCTCCCTGCAGCTTCTCTGCATGTGTGTGGACTCTGACGTGCCTTCTGTGTGTTGCTTTTGGATTGAACTGTGATTCTCTCTGCCTGTATCTTGTCTGTGAGGTTCTGTGTTTCTGATGCTTGCCAAACATTATTAATTTAATGAAAACAGTTCCCTGAAGCCAGGTGCATTAGTACATCCATGTGCAGACGTGGATTGCAAGTGAGTAAAAGGAGTCCCAGCCTTGGTCTCCCCCAGGAAAGGCCCTTTGTCTTTCGTGGCTTTATTCCCATTTAGTACATAACCTGGCATTTTTGAGTCACCCATGGCGTGGCTTGAATATTTCCAGGGTGTTTCAGATTTTATTGAGTAGGAGGAATAAACCTAGATTCGCACATAAACCCTGAACAATTTCAAAAATCTTACATCCTTCAAGTCATTTATTTGCTTGGTTGTCTGCTACTGTCACTATGAGAACTATCCCTCTAATTCATGATTGGTCTTAACTTGTGAAATCTTTAATGCAGAGTAATGACCAGCTTTTACAAATACACTTCCTATGGGGCTTATAGTCCCTACCACTCATTCACCATTTTTGAAATTTCAGTTTGCTGCCCCCACTTAGTGGATGACTCCCCATGGAGAGGAGTCTCTGTAGAGAGTGGAGGCTGCCTCTGGAAGGGGATCCTGGTATTCCTGGGCTCTGCCCTGCCCATACTTGGAGATGCTGTCCGAAGCCCCTCGGGTGACTCTGTATCCTCCCCACCCGCAGACACACAGAAAGGGGAGCACCCCTAGAAGGGAGAAGGGGCTCTCTGGGCTCTCCCAGAAGCTGCTTCTGAACATAACCGCTGCTGGGGGCCGGGGGTGCCCATCTCCCCCCAGAAGAGCCTTTGTTACCCACTGCACTCACACATCCTCAGGAAATACTTGAGGTGGTACACTTGATGCCACGTGAGTGTATCCTCACCTGTTTTTTCTTCTTCTTCCCAAGCCTGTGTCTCGGGTGGGGGGCAGGGGGTGCCATGCCTTTGTGGAATGCTGAGTCCCTGAGGAATCCTGTGTTGCATCTCTCTGAACACTGCCTTTTCCAGAGCAGGGCTCACAGCTTGTCCTTCACCTCTGCTTCCTTTCCTCGTCTACCCTCTAAACTGCCCTGCCTGTCTTCAGGGGATAATATATGTGGTCAGTTTTACACCATGGATGCACGCTGTGACGGGAGGACCCCCTCAAGAGATGGCCCGGTGAGGGGAGTGGGGACTGGGTCGGGCTGAGGGTATGACAGCATCATCCACTCCCAGCAAAGCTTCCTTCTGTCTACTGATGAATGGCCCTGCAAGCCCTTGTTTTAAAGTTTGAACACTTTAAAAGTGCTTTCATCCTGATGAGTCTCTGTGGACTCAGGTTAGCATTGGGCTTAGAAGGGTGGAATTTATCCCTGGAGAAACAGCACAGCTCTGGTTTTGCGTCAGGAACAGTCCACACAGGGTTAACAGCAACTCCGTGCTGCAGTCCTTGGCTCCCCACGTCTCCCAAGTTCAACCAAACTGACTGAGGCCATGGAAACGACTAATTTTAACAGTGCCAGTGACATGCCTTATCTCTGAGCTTCCCGGAGCAGGAGCCATCGCCCAGCTGTGATGAAGCAGCTCAAAACGGGGGGGGGGGGGGGGGGGGGGAAGGAAAAGATGAGAGGAGGGGCTCCTTATTATAATGGTGGGCATTAAATGTTGACCCCTATGGAGGATAAAAACAGTACATGCTCATGGAACAACCAGGTTACTGGGATATATTCTAGGGAAAACAATAAGTAATTTTAAAACATTTTTGTACCGAAGCAAAACTACATCCCTTCTGAAGGAGAATGCAATGACATGTGAATTTTTAAAATCCAAGACTTCCCAGTGATTTCCATAGTCCCTTCCTGCTGTTCCCCAGCTCCTAAGGGCCGCACGCTGAGGGGTCTCCAGCATGAGGCCACTCTGGAAGGTAGTGTGGAGAGGTACTGGGTGTAAAGTGAGAACCGAGGCTGCAGGGCAGAGCCTTTAGCCATGCTCTCGAGTTTGCCTAGCATTTCCTGCTGAGCCAGAGGCTAGGCAAGCCAGATGTCTAAGACACAGAGGCTCTGGGCTCAGGCTTCCGTTGTCTAGTGGGCAGACTGTTGTCAAGCAGCGCAGGATGGCAGAGCTGGAGCAGGGGTGTAGACCAAGGGGCTGTGAAGACTGCATGTCTGTGAACTGGCTCTTGAAAGGCGATAAGGCGTCTGCGGGGGAAGACCGATGATGACGGACATGCTCCCACCTCCCCAACAATTCCCCACTCCTCTGCCCAGCGACTCCCCCTTGACTGGTCCCCAAAGCAACAAAATCAAAAATCAAAAAATCAAAAAATCAAAAGAAGTCATTCGTATGCATTTTCTTGTGAAATTTTTTAAAATTTGCTTCAACCTTAGAGTTCTTCACAATTTTTTTTTTTTTTAGGAAACGCTAATGGGATCACAAAACCAGAGGGATGTAAATATTAAAAGCAAGATGACTTCCATTGCATAGCCCCTTAGGGACCACCAGACCAGCACACATGTAATCCTTAAAGCACTGAATTAAAAGCCTCCCGTTTTAGAAACTTAAGACCATGCTATTGCCTTCTGGTGAAGGATCGCTAAATGATGCTTGTGTGTCTTTAAGTCTGTTAACTACTTGGAAATACTTGTTTCTGCTACTTGGCTTTTTCTTTTTTCATGTGGCCATGCCATCCTATTGTGTTCGTGAACTGATTTTAATCTGCACACCCGATCTGGTGTTGGTACATTTGTAAAGCATTCTAAGCTTTGGAAAAATCTTTGGTTTTACAACAGCTCCTTTTCTCAAGGTGAGTATGAAGTTTATGAACTGTACACCCTGTGTCACCAAGCGTGAACACAGATGAAGACTTTGCTCTCTGACAATAGTGCTCTATGGGGGGTTGGGGCAGGGGAGCCAGGAATGTCTCTAGCTCATGTTGCAATTTTACATGAAGTTGTCACTGCGGAGATGGTCCCGTTATGACCAGGGATTGGAAAGAATGTCTCATGTAAGTCTATAAGTCAGGCAGATTATGTGTCTTCTCATGATGGTTTTTTTGTTTGTTTTAGAAGATTGGTGATTTTTTTTTTTTTTACTTTTAAAATTGTTCATTTAACTTCTTGTCCTTTTTGAGGTTTTTGTCAGTAAACAGGCAAAATAAGAGGACTATTGGTGTTCCAGTGCTTTGTTTCTTTAGAATCCCTGCCAGATTCTCAGGGGGAAGAATGGTGGTCCTGGGCTGTGGGTTCACCTCTTCCCCTGCAAGACCCACCTGATGCCAGGCATACCTGTGGTACGGCCCCCAAGGTGTGGTTCAGGCCCCCAAGAAGAGATTGGTAGATGAGAAGACCTGGGTTCTGGTCCTGCCATTGTCACACACCAACTCTGGGGACTTTACTTGTAATCCTGAGCTTCCATCTCTTCATCCCTCAAATACAGATGGTCCCATCCTGCAGCTTTCCCTATAGGGTGACTGGTTTTATATCTGGTAATGAATGTGGAAGTTAAGGATTTTACTCATTGAATGTGTCTTCATCCTAAATCCATGGACCTAAATCCTAGTCTCCTTTCTGGGTGAAGCGGGAATAGACACGGGGGCTCTTTGGAAATTAAAGTGTACCATTTTCTGGATTTCCCATAAAATGACCAAGAGAAATGAGCTTTGTATACACATTAATTCTGTACTCTGCGCCCCCTCAAACAGAAGCCTTGGAGGTTCTTTGTCAGCTAATTTTGCAGTTCCAAATGGTTGTGACTCAAGTTCTCTCTGACAGTGATTTTTTTTTTCACAAATTTGGGGGCATGGTATTTCTGTAGCATCGTAGTTAATCAGACTGGCTTTAGAGTTAGATAGCCAAGACTTGATTCTTTGCTCTACCTTTTACCAACTGTGAGATTTGGGGCAAATTACTTATCTATTTGAGCCTCACTTTCCTGGTCTGTGCAATGGAGTTAATAATACCAACCATATTTTGTTGCTCGAGGATTCAGTGAGCTAGAGCGTAGCATACTTGCTCTTTGTTACTGTGGTGGCTTGAGTGAGAGTATATAAAATGTGATTTGATGCAAGAAAAATCTAATCAACCCAGCCCTTTTAAACTAATAATAATTGACCAAGATTGGCTTGCTTCAGTGGAAAGTCAAAGTTCTAGAATATTTTTAAGTGTTTTATTGCATACACACGTGCATATATAATGACATAAGCGAATGATTACTGAAGGATATTATTACATAAACCACCT